GGGCGGGTATGGGGGCGGGGGCGGGGTGGGTATTAACATCCCCGCCCCCGATTTTATCAATCGGGGAAAATCCGAACCCGAACCTGATAAACACGAGTTTTTTCCATCCAAATCGGGGCGGGTTCGGGCGGGTACCCACGGGGGCGGGTTAGATTGCCATGCTTAAAAACAACCCTCACCTTACAAGCCAGTTTTGTAAGGTTGAGTTAGACTTAAATTCACTATTCTAAAATGGTATCAGAACTATCCTAGATCCTTAAAAATGGGCCGCCTATCCTATATCATTCAAAAGGGTCACTCACTATTTATCCACATACCAAACTCAATAGTGCTGGACGTGAGGGGGTGTATTGAGAAAAATCCAAGTTTCACATAGACTAGAGATAAGACAATTAAATAGTATATAAGTGGAAAATAATCCTCACCTTACAAGCCACTTTTGTAGGGTTGAGTTAGACTTGAATCTACTATTCTAAGACGTCAACACTACCAAATAGGCAAATACTAACATTTTAAATTATACATAAGTTAATTTTAATTTATTTAATTATTTCTTTTGTATTGAATTTTCAAAATATTGGATTTTTTTTTAAGAATAAAACTTGGGTGCAATTAATGTTGATCTTCAATTAGAATGAAAGTTTTATCTTGTATTTAATACAAATTTTATTAATATATATTTATGCAATCCTCATTCTAATTGAAAAATAGTACCAACAGTATCCATAAGTTGTCCTTTTTTAAATGCCATTATTGTTTTGATATTTCAACTAATAAAATTTTAATTGTTGTAACGATGAACAAAGAGTTAAGTTTCTGGAAACTCTTTAGCAACAATATTGAACTTTGGTAATAGTGTGGTGGTTCGCGTGGTAACTATTGCAAACTCCTGTGATGACATATGCAAGGATGCCTAAGTTAGTATTTTCTTATTCGCGCCCTTTTGTTTGTTATATAGATCCTTTCTTTTAAGTTTTCTCTTCCATTAGTTTTACTCTTTCAACTTTTTTACTCCCTTCGTATTTTCAATTTTCTTGCTTCCATTTCCATCTTTAAGGATGAACTTCTGAATATTTGCTCCTTTCTACCAACAAAAGTTATATCTCGATTCAAATGCACAGATAAGTTTATATTGAAATTCAAGGGAGCTTATTTCACTAGGAAACAAGTTCTTAATTCATTGAGGAGGGGCGGTACTTTCTTTTTCTTCTAAGAAGATACTCTTTAGAATAATAATATAGTTTCTTTATACTCTTTATTTGGTGAATTAAATTCTACATGTGTGCCCCAACATGTACTTGATTTCCTTTCAAAAACTAAGACTCTGGGATCCTTAAATGAGTTAAGTCTTGGGTCGAGCTTTGGATAAATTCCTAGTTGAGATTTTTGTTTGAAACCCTACCATCAAATGCTTGTTGTTTTTTCCTCACCCGCCTCAAGTTTATCAAATTCCCAAAGTAATTCTTATCATTTTTCAGTTTGAGGCTCCCAATGATTGGTCCTCTTACAATGCTTGGAGAGGACATATGGAGGATCGAATTGTTGCCATTCTTAGATGTTGGTCGGAATATGAAGTTTCATATGCTAGTAACTTGTTATGGAGCGATCCATACATAATGTCTTATCATCTTGAGTGTAGAGCTTATGAAATGTTGCGAGTGTCTAAGGAAGCTAGGAAGGGTTCTCATGTTTAAGCTGCAATATGAGCTTCTTTTTTATTTCTTTTTTGCTTATAGTCTTCAAACCCTAGTCTGTGGCTATGGAAATTGATCTTCGTATGATAATTTTTTTTTTTTTTTTTTGCTTCTTCACATCATTTTAGTACACTTTTGCTTATGTACCACACCCTATTTTGGTGGCTTTGAAAACTGATCTTAGGATAATGACCTTCATATTTATAACTTGGGTACACTTTTGCTTACGTATACCACAAACCCTATTCAGTGGCTTTGAAAATTGATCTTAATATGGTGATCTCTTTTTTGCTTCACGACGTTATATCTTTTCTTATATACCTTAAATCATAGTCAATGGTTTTGAAATTCAATTTTAGAGTGATGACCTTTTTAGTTTTTATTTATTACCCGGGTACACTTTTTCTTATGTACCTCAAACCCTAGCGGTAACTTTGAAAATCAATCTTAGGGTTGTCATCTAGTTTCACTTTTGCTTATGTAAAGATATATTATATGTTAATTTAAATTTATGTAAAAATATCAAATAGTTTTTAAATTTTTCAAAATTTTTGTAAACTTAATCTATTTAATAAAAAATTTTAATTTAGTAATTAAATTGTTAAAATTCAATCTATATTATAAGATCCTAAATAAAGTAGGTTTATACAGAGTTACTCTTTAAATAATTCAATCCCCACTTTATATATATATATATA